TTCTAATTTTAGGTCTTAGCACATTTCATTAAAATATTTGGCTTTGTCTTCTTGAGCTGCCCTTTGAAATTTTCTGCTTGTGGTAGTTACATAGTCTGTTGTTAATTTGAGACTTATGAGTGAAGGGGTGGAGTTTAGCCTGTCAATCAGGTCACAACTTGATGACCTCATTTGGAGGCACTAAGGAAATAAATAGCTCACTGGAGGCAGGGCATAAACTCACTCCTTGGGAGACATTGCAGTTGAGAAGACACATGGAGCTACGCTAGTACCTTGAACTGGAGGAGCCACATGGAGACCCCTGCCAGTGCTGAGATGCTTACAACACCACTGGATCGACAAGACTTCCCACCCACTGCTTTTGATCTTCCTACATTCGGTGTCATTGCCTGTGTTTCGTGAGTCTGAAGATGAATTTATAGATTGGTATTGAACATAGGGGCTAATATTGGACTTAGGGACTTGATCTGGGTGGGGCTGGAATGTTTTCTTAATGTACAATTATTCTTTATATAAAACTCTTATGCACATATGAGTGTCTATAAATTTTGTTTTTCTAGTCTACCCAGACTAACACACTATTCAGCTCTCCGACTTCATCCTTTCTTCTCTGGTAGAATAGTGGTTACACATTGGGCTGCAATGTGCAAGGTCAGCAGTTCAAAACCACCAGCCACTCTGAAGGAGAAAGACAGGGCTTTCTACTCCCATAAAGAGTAACAGTCTCCAGAACCCCTGGGGAGTTAGTTCTACCCTGTCCTGCATGGTCACTGTTTGAATAGGCATCTACTTGATTGCAGTGAGTTTGGGATCCTTTCAATTAAGAGCAAGTTTCAGGTCTCTTCCGACATCAACTTTGATCATTTCTTTCATGTGTTTTTAATGACCTTTTGCTTTCTTCATGTGCAGTGTTATGAGCCTCGGCAATGGGAGTTTTATTGTGAAGCAGTCGGTCTGCATATGAAAATCTAAAAGGAAGACCCATTTTCCCTTCCTGCTGCACCTGATGCCCAGGGTCAGGATGGGGTGCGGGTGGGGGTGAAGGACTTTCAAAAATATGGAACCATTCACGAATTTGCGTGTCATCCTTGCACAGAGGCCGTGCTAATCTCTGTATCATTCTAATATTAGTATCTGTGCTGCCAAGCAAGCACTGAATGATGGTCTTCATGCTCTCCCACAGCTCATCAGGTATTCTATCAGTGTATTCTATCTCAATGTGTCAAATCTGTTCTTGAGATGTTCTTGAAATTCAAATTGGATTGACTCAAGGTCATATTTTGGTTCTCATGGACTTGTTTTAATTTTCTTAAGCTTCATCCAGAACTTAAATATGAACAATTGATGGTTTGTTCTGCAGTCAGCCTCTGGTCTGGTGTTAGTTGCTGATAATGAGTTTTCAATTGTCTCTTTCCTCAGATGTAGTCCATTTGATATTCCATCTGGTGAAGTCCATGTGTGCCTTTTGTGTTATTAAACAAAAAGGATACTTGCAATGAAGTCATTGGTTTTGCAAAATTCTATCATGCTGTTTTCAGCTTCATTTCTATTGCCAATTCCATGTTTTTCAACTACTCTTCCTTCCTCTTTGTTTTCAACTTTTGCATTCCAATTGCTAAGAATTATCAGTACATCTTGATTGCATGCTTGAAAAGTTTCTCACTGAAGTTGTTGGTACAGTTCTTCAATTTCTTCTTCCTTGACTTTTGTGGTGGGTGCATACATTTGAATAATGTTTGTATTGACTGGATTTCCTAGAAGGCGGACAGATACAATCCTATCACAGATGGTATTGTACTTGATGGATTTTTCCAATGTCCTTTTTGACAAGAGGACGCCGTGCCATTCTTCTTGATTGTGTTATCCCTGGCACAGTAAATCATACGAGTTTTTTTCAAATTCAGAATGGCCAGTACAGCCCCTTTTACCTCACCAATGCCTAGGATATCAAGCTGTATGTGTTCCATTTCATTTTTGATGACCTTCAATTTTCCCAGATTCATACTTTGCACATTCCAAGTTCTAATAGTAGATTTTTGCAGCCACACGCCATCAGCAAATGAAAATCTGGAAGGCTCCATTCTCACAGGCTTTACCTACTCATGTGACTCTGGTCAACTACACTTCTGAGAGACTGGCACCTCCTCTGTCACATTTTGAGTGGCCTAGGACCAGAGCCATCTCCCGGCACTATCTCCAACAATGTTCTACTTCCATTCTTTAGTCCTTCAGTATCTGACAGTTTTCAGTTCCATGCATAAAATTGTCAGTAGTTCCTTCATTTGAAGTGGGGAGCCAGTTTCTTCTTCATTGTCTCTTGCTAGTCTGGAAGGATCACTGAAACTTGTTCACTTTGGGTGACCGTGCTGGCATTTGAAATACCATTGACATGGCTCTAGCACGACAGCAACACAGAAGCCACCACAGTATGACAAAATGACCGACAAGTGGTGGTTAGAATTACCTAGGAGATAGGGGACCCCTAGATCATTTCTCACATGATTGTAATATGCAGCCAGCGTAAAGAACCACAACTCTGTCAAAAAAAAGAAAATAATCATATAGTACACTATGCAACAAGAAAAAAATGAAATCAGTTCCTGCGATATCAATTAACACTAAGATTTTTTTTCTTTAAAGTATTTTATTCTGTTCTTGGTTTAAGGTAGTGAGACAAAGGGAATATTTGAGTTCTTATATGCTGTTTAGTTTAGATACGTTTGCTTTTTTATAAGAGTGAAATTAAAAATGTTAATGTTCTTGTTGACATTGATGTAGTTTAGCTTTATGTAAGAGGGCATCAAATTTCATGGAAAAGTCTCATTTTCTTTTAATTTCGTTTTTCTATGAACTTTTAAAGTCCCCTTACTTAGGAGGTTCAGTCCTCTCTGTATGGTTTTTGAACTTAATTCATTACAAATTCGTGTTCTAGCACTGAAAAGTTTGAGAACTGAACTTATTTTCCCATAAGAAATAATGTAAAACCGAATAATTGATACTATAGCCCCACAGTTACACTTATGTTCATTTTTCCAAGATTTAAATCACTATGGGGGGTTTTAGTCTTCTCGAATATCACTGTCTTGCATTTCTGATTCTGATTTACCCAAATTAACCATAACTTTCCAGCCTCTTCGATATTCTGGGTTCTTTATTTTATGGTTAGCGATTTCACATCTTTTGCTATATTAGCTGCTTTAATGACATTTTAAAAAGTGTTGAAAATGTTAACTTAGCCATGTTGGATTTAGTTGCCAAATCAGACAAACAGCCACTTGATTCAAATTTCTCAGTGATTTTTTTTTCTTGAACTCTGTCTCGGTACTGAGTTTTCTCTTTGCTTTACTGCTGGTATCACTAACTTTCATTGTAGCCAGGGTTACACTATTTCATGCAAATAAAGCGCAAGAAAAAAAAAGCAGTAACTTTAATGCACTAACAGAACCACTATATGTTGTCTGAGCAAGAGTGGCGCTTATGCTGATATGTCACCCCTTTGTGACCGTGGTGGCTCAGATAGGTTTTTTTCAAGTCAGATTTTTGGATAGTCCATTGAGCAAAGTTCAAAGCACGGAGAAAATTATCAAACTTTGCTGTTCATGTAATGGAAAGTTTGAGCTTGGAACTGTTGGACAACTGAGGTATCACTGTATCTTATTAGTATCTGAGTAAGGGCATAGTTACTTCATTTTAAATAATAAATATCCCATAGAAAACATGTAAAGAACACTGATAATTATTGTTACTATAGGACCCCTCTGCCTCATAGAAAATAGTTGGGAACAGACTTTGAGAAGAAATACAGTAGCTTTAACATCCTAAATAATTATTTTATCCCCCCCCCAATAAGCACATTGAAATCCATTGTATCTTAAATATATCTGAACTTAAAGGAGAAAGCGATCTGACACTTTTTGAGCTTGTTATATGTACAAGATTGTGCTATCTCATTCAGGTTTATTCACTCTTCAGAACAGCTCTGTCAAGAACTTGTTCCATTTTACCAGATGAGAGATTATGCAAGTAAGTAGAAGGCACATTTGGAATTTGAACATAGATCATTTCACTTAATGCTTTTTTTCTCTGTTCATTTTTGTTTCCTTCTTAAAAATAATATTGAAGAATAGGAGAGAATATACACACATTGTTGGTAATGATGTAACAATATCAATTCAAAGTAAAAGTCAACAAAGTCCCATCAAGGTATTTCTGCACACAGACAAATGTATGCTAAAATTTATATGTAAAAGCACAGGACATAGTCTATTTAAAAGTATTTTGATAAAGAATAATAAACTGTGATTACCTGCTATTAGGGTTTTATGGTATGCTTGCAGTGATAAGTGTATGCAGTGTTGGTAGAGGGATAGACACATAGCAATGGAACAGAATGCCCACACGCACCATCTT